CACCCACGGGATCAGCACCGGTGATGACCGGCGACCCTCCCGGCCAACACCCGGTGACTTCAACACCGGCATCCACCAGCGACCCACGGGCGACCGCCAGCGACCACCGGGCGACCATCGGTCACCACCGGCGACCACCGGCCACCACTGACCACCACCCGCTAATTATTATTTTAAATATAAAATAATAAATAATTATGGGATTGCGACGATTTTATTTTTTAAATAAAAATAAATAATCGTCGTAAAATCGTTGTAAATTAGTGACGATTTTCATTCGTCGCTAATTTACGATGATTTTACGACGATTTCGTATTAGCGACGATCGATTAACGACGAATCGATGGTAAGCCCTGTTTATAACGATTTTACAACAAATATAGTCATTGTAAATGGAATGTTTTCTTGTAGTGAGAATACGACGTCGTTTTTAATGAATCTGGGTTTAAATTTTTTTTTACAAACTCAGGGATTCGAACCCGCAACCTGTTTGCGTTCAAACGGACTTCAGAACCAGTGGACCATGTGTGAAATCAATAAACCATCACCAGTTGATAAATATAAAGCTTCTTCGCATTCGTCATTAAAAAACAAGGTAAACGACGTCGTTTTACTTTTATGTGTGTTTAAGAAGCATCGATCTTCTTCTTTCTCTTCTTCGCCGATGTCTATCTATATTCAAAATTGGGGAAAAACTCTCAACTAGGTTTTAGGGGTGTAGAAGAAGACAGAAGAGAATGGCGTCATCTTCGAGCCAAAGGGCTTCTTCCGAGAATTCAGGTATGCCCAAATCTTCTATTGTGAAGTAAATTCGATTTTGGGATCTAGGGTTTAGTTACAATTTGAATGTCCATTTGTAGGGTATAGTTTAAGCATGAGAACTTGTGGTGCGGAAGGATTTAGAGGAATGCCGAGAACTTGTATTTGTGGAAGCTCCACTTGGATAAGAACTTCAGGAACCTCAAAAAATCCAGGAAGATTATTCCATTGTTGTCCTAATCGGACTGAAAAGGTAAAGAGAATAGTTTAATGAATCTAACTTTATTGTGGTAACTGGGTTTATAATCTGAATTTTGTTACTTTGATCTGGTGCTAGGACAACTACCATTTGTTTAAATGGACTGATGAAGGAATGGTAGAAGAAATTGAAGACATGAAGAAAGAGATTAAAGATATGAAGAAGGAGATTGAAGATATGAAAAACAACATGGATTCTCTGAAAACCGAGATACAAGGATGTGAGAAAGAAATGAAGGAGTTGGTAGGAGAGACATATGTCTTGAAGAGTGTGATTTTTTGTGGAGTTGTGTTCCTAGGTGCTTACTTTTGTTTTTGGGTTTAGGGAGCTCTATGTGTTTGGCTTCCTGTGTTTTTAGACTCTTGTTGTATCAGATTTTAAACTTTGGTGTATCAGGTTTTAAGTTTCCTGTGTTTTTATGAGATTTAGACTCTTGTTGTATCAGATTTTAAACTTTGGTGTATCAGGTTTTAAGTAATGTGATGGCTTTAAGCCTTTTTTATTATCCCATTTACGTAACATGACAATAAGAGAAAGACAAACTTGAAAGAACCAAAAAATGATTGAAACCAAACTTCTTAGAAACCAATATAAAGTTGCATCCAAGCCAGTAATAAGATACCGATATAAAGGTTGTGCAATACAAAAGCATTCCAAAGGAAATAAGACATAAGAGCAATAAGTTTTTTTTTAAAAAGCACACCTAAAGCCGAGATTTTCTAGTGAGCAGGAGATCACAACCCCAAAAAATAACTCTGATTTCCTGCATATTGAACTACATTGAACTACCAATAAGCTCCACCTGCAAAATATAGACAGTAGTATTCATCACATACATTACTTTTCAGATTATCAATCTCAGAAACATCTCAGAAACTTGTGAGAAAATACCTGATCATTCTCCAAACTCTTCAGCAAACGATGGCTGAGTTTGTTGTGTTTGAGATGGACCTTCTCCTTCATCAAGTGTCATTGTCTCTGGAAAATCTGGAACTTCTGGAACATCGGTTCCTGTCTTTCTCTTCTTGGGCTTCCTAGGCTTGAATGGTGCGCCGGGGTTAGTACAATGAATAAGAATTATGTCCTTCCATATTGCACCGATAGACCGCATTGTCCTCCCATGTTTGGTAACTCTTTTACCCTTGGTTGGTGACTCCGTGACTGATTTGAGCCGTTTCTGCGGGTTTCTTTTCCTTCCCTTCTCTTTCACTCGTTCTGGTGGATCAATAGTTGGTTCAGAGCTTGTCTTCCAAAACTTCATTCCATTTACAGGCTCGATGGAATCAATATATTGACTTCGCCAGAGAGAAGTCAAATACCAATCTGACACTAAATCTTCTTTCTTGAAAACATTGCTGTTGTCAAAGACAACACGAAGTGCATGCCGGCAAGGTATTCCGGTGAGATCCCATCTCCTACACTTACAGGTCTTCTCTCTCATATTAACAGCGTATGATACCCTTTTCTCTGACACTTCAAATACACGATCACGGCCAGGAAGCAACCTGCACCACTTCACTTGTTTCTCCTCTAATGCGATTACAAGGCCCACTTTCTTACTATGTCTGCCATTATGTTTGGCGGTAATTTTTTGATAACACCGTATTTTGACCATTTTTATGGATCATAATTATGTCTTATGCAGGTGCTTTAACTCTGTTTTTAATGGTTTTTAAAGTGTTTTCAATGTTTTAGAGTTTCAAAAGACTTTACAGGAAACTTGGGTAAAAGATATGCAATTTGGAACAAATGAGCAATTTTGGATAAATGCAGACCGTCAGAGTATGACAAGCGATGAAAACCTTCTCACCGTCTGATCACCCCACAATTTGAGACAACATAGAGGATCCAACCATCTTTCTAATTCACTTGGTTTGGAGACAATCCAACGGTTAGATCTTCAGATACTCCTGATGCAAGAATGACAGAAAATGCAGTTCCGGAAGAGAGCAAGAGCCGGGACCGCGGCCAACACCCATTTTCCCGCAGGTAGAGCCACCGCGACCGCGGAACTTGGTCGTTCACTTTCCCGACGACTTAATTAAAGCCCAGATCAATTCCTTTCGTTATTTTTGAAGCCCTAAGTGTCCAGAACCACCCCAGAAGCTATAATTACCCCATTTAGGTCATTCCTAAAGGTGTGGAGAAGACATAAGATAAAAATAGAGAGAGAATTCGTGTGGGTGCTTCAAAAAAACCCTAGAGGCCGCCGCATGAAGGAGGAGGAGCCGCCACTGGAGGAAGACATCGCGCCTCCATCTGCTTCTCCGTTCTTCGTTTTTCTTCCTTCTGTTCTTTAATTTCCTGCACTTTCAATACTCTATGATGCTTTGTTACAATATGTTTGAGTAGTTACCCAGTTGGGTTTAAAGGGATTGTTCAAGGGAATTTCATGTGTCTTTGCTTATGAATCGATAGATTTAGGATTTATAATCTTCTAGATGTTCTTCGTTTGCCTTTAATCTTACTGCGTGATTCTTTGCTGGCCACTTAGAAGCCGATCTGATATGATATGTTGCGAAAGCTTTCATTGATTGTCTGAACTAGGGTGAAACGAGCAATTCTTCTATAGGAGTGGAAACCTACCTGTAGTTGAGTTGTGAATATTGATGAGTCTTGTTCTGCTATTGCATCTTCTCCCTTCCAGGATCAGAGTGGAAACCTACTGATCAGGGTTGCGAGAGATAGTTGTTTAGTTCTGCGAAAGTAGGCTATTCATACTTCTTTGCCTCGAGTTCTAGAACATACGTAGTTGATTACCTTTATCACTTGTTTAAAATCGACATATCTTAGTCCATGAATCCCTGCGAAACCCCTTGAGCCCCAACGTTTGTCTTTCATTGCTTACAACCTTTGCTTCTTATTCGATTTTTCCTGCTTTCAATTTGTCTTTGATTTATTCGCTTATTACCTGCTTTCATTAGCCTTGGTTTAGTCGCTTTTTACTTGTTTTTGTTGCCTTTAATTGCTTTTGTTTTCTTTGCTTTCTAGTTTAGATTGAGTGACAACCAAAAACCCAAAACCAAAACCAAAACCTTTTTAGTTCTAATCTGATTTAAGCGTTGCAGTGAATTGGTACTGAAACAACTAAGTCTCTGTTGATCGATACCCTAACTACTACAGCGCACATCTGTGCACTTGCAGGCATTTAGGGGTTATAAATTTAAAACCTGAAGCTTAGTAAAACGAAAACAACAAATCCCGCTTTTACAAATTGCTCGCAATCAAGTTTTTGGCGCCGTTGCCGGGGACTTTGATTTGTTTCGTTGCGAATCCCAGCTTAAATCCATTAGAACACTTGTTTACTTTTACTTTTTCTTTTGAATTTTTCAGGTTTCTCTTCGATGAGAGACCGGGAACATGTTCCCGGGACTCTTGGTGATCCACCAAATCGTGTGGATGGTGATCCAAGCGATGATGACCTGACTGATGACGAGTTTGAAGAACCGATTTATGATGACAATGAGCTAATCGGATCGACAAAACATGAAAACGATGAAGAACTGATTGGAAGTTTTGATTCACTCGAAAAGTTCATGGGAGATCGAAGAGCTATTCAACCAGCCTTACCAGAGGATGGCAAAACCGAAATTAAGGTACCCCATATCCATTTAGTTCAACAAAATCAATTCTACTGTTATTCCTTCGAAAACCCGATAGACCATATCGAGACGTTCGAAGAATTATGTGCAACCATTACAGCAAATGGGGATTACCACAAGTGTAGTCTTTTCCCATTCTCTCTTAGAGATAATGCCAGCAAATGGCTAAAATCTTTGCCACCTGCTTCACTAAAAACGTGGGCAGCGTGTAGAGCTGCTTTCCTAAATCGTTTTTACACTAGAAATCTCTCAAATCTCTTAAGAAAGAAGATAAGAACTTATAAACAAAAAGAAGATGAAGATCTTTTAGAAACTTGGGAAAGATTTAGGGAATACCAAAGAGATTGTCCACACCATGGATATACCGAAGAATACCTGCTGGGTATCTTTTACCGCGGTATAACTCCAGAGTTACGACACTCTTTCGACATAGCAAGTAATGGAGATTTCACAACTAGATCTGTAGAAGATGCTCACGTTTTCATTAAAAATTTAGGAAACAGCATCCAAAATCAAGTAACATTTGATAATTCTGCACTTCCTGAGAAGAAAGAAGAAATTTCGGAAGTTATAAAGTGTCTCCGTCACATAATGAGTCATCTTGGATTGCAACAACCAAATAAGGTACACAATACGTGTAACTTTGATGGTTGGGACAACCCAATGGATTCTTATGATCAAGGGATGGTTAACACTGCAGAAGTCTATCAAATTCAAGATTTTCCATTCCTTTCTGATCACCGCGGGTCCATTCATCCTGACCGCGGCAAAGCAAGGTTTCACCGCGATCGTGGCTGTTCTGACCGTGGCCAAGACATGTTTCACCGCGTTCGCGAGCCACCTGATCGCGGGAAACCGTCTTCCGAGCTTGACTGGAAACCATCTTCCAAACCTATCTTGGCTAGTCAATCTAATCCTGTTTCATATCCTAGTTTTACCTCTTCTGAAGCTGAAAACCTAAACAAAAAGAATTTAGAGCTTGAAAAATCTAGGTCTCAAGAGATTAGTGATCTTAGATATGAACTAAAAGAGATGCAGAAGGATTTTGATGAAAAAATTTCCACCCTCCTTAGCATAATGATCAAAACTAATTCTAAAAACTTAGAAAATTTTGAAGAGGAGCTAAGTGAAAATTCTTTCGAAAACTCAAGTGAAACAGATCCCTCCGATGATGTGAAAGCTATCACACTTAGGAGTGGATTAGCTTACAAAGAGCCTGAATTTCCTAAAGATCCCGAAGACGAGGAAAAGGGTAAGGAAAAGGAGAAAGAAAGAGAAAGAATCACGAATGAAGATGTTGAAAAAGAAGTGGTATGAGAGAAGGATGGAGAAGAAGTAAGAGAAGATTCATCCCGGGAAATCCTCGGAGAAAACCCAATTCCACCTCCACCAACTCGTGTCTATAAACCTAAACCCCCATATCCTAGAGCCTTAAGAGCCCCTAAGAAAGAGAAAGAAAAAGCTAAGCTAAAAGAGTTAATCGATCAATTAAATGTGAGATTACCTTTCGTAGAAGCTTGTGTTATGATTCCTGCTTTAAGAAAATACATGAAGTGTATTCTAACAAATTTTTTAACTCTTGAAGAAGGCGTTATGATGATAACCCATGAATGTAGTTCTATCCTGCAAAGCCGAATCCCTGAAAAGAAAAACGATCCTGGAAGCTTTGTACTTTCTTGCACCATCAATGATGTAGCTTTTGAGCGTGCTCTCTGTGATTTAGGTTCTAGCATAAACACGATGCCTCTTTCAGTAG